TTAATATTTCTGTATTGATTTTTTTTTAAATTCAATAAGATTTTATGTATTTAAAGTTTATGTTCGAGTTTAAATCCTAAACTCTAAACCCTAAAAATTAAGTGAAGGATGTAAAGGGTTAATTCCAATCATTTAATATATGCGGGTCCAATTGTGAATTCCAAATTTGCATGATATTTTCATATATATAAACTTGTAAACTTTACATGGAATATTTACAGTCAAAGAACATTGTGCATTTTGATTTAAAATGTGACAACTTGCTTGTCAACTTGAAAGACCCTAGGCGGCAAATTTGCAAGGTAATTTGAATGATATTTTCATGTATAAACTTGTAAATTCTACATTATGCATCTCTTATTTTTTGTTAGGTATATATTGATGTAGCCTAGGTTACAAAAGATGATGATGTGTGTGCAGGTTGGGGACTTCGGGCTGTCAAAGATAAAAAGGAATACCTTGGTTACTGGTGGTGTGAGGGGAACTCTTCCATGGATGGCCCCAGAGCTTTTGAATGGCAGTAGTAGAAAGGTTTCTGAAAAGGTAAGATGATTTTGTTTCAGAGCTTAGATAAAGTTTGTTAAAGGTCTTGGTTCATATCTTGCTTTACTGCAATCCTTTACATGCTGGCATCAAAATATATTATGCTTCATTGAAGTGCTTGCCTCGCAATGATTCTGTTTCTCATATGATTTTGGATGACTTATAAGAAGTGGGTTATACTCTTCATCTAGAATTCAATGGCTCAAGTTGTAGTTTTCTGTTTGTCAGTTATAAAGAAATGAGACGCTTGGATTTGTTGGCTCTGAACATTTTTCAGACCTAATACCACCACCCAATTTTCTCAATTTATTCTTTAAGATTTTTTTTGTGTAATTTATTTGTATAAAATGTACACAATAGGTCCAAGGTTCAAATCTAGGTTTCTTCCTAAAAGGTCCACCTCCATGACCCGTTAAGCAAGAATCAAATGGTCTTTATGCAAATTGAAAACAATCCTACATCGGTAGGTGAATAGCGAGAGAATCCTTGAGTCTATTATAAAAGGCGAGGGGATACACAGGTTAAAAGCATCTTTTTGCTTGGGGCAATTCGAGCTTGAATTGAGTTTAAAATCAAGCTTTAATCGAGCTTGAGTCTCGGTTTCAATTGAACTCTTGAAATTTATTTGAGGTCGAGCCTTTTTGAGTTCAAGTCAAGTTTTAATATTATATTTCGAATTTGAGCTGAGCTTGATAATTTTTAGCTTGCTAGTTTTCGAGTCGAGTCTATCTTAAAGTTTTCGAGTTTGAGTCGAGCTCAGCAATACTTGAACTCAATTCGGCTCGTTTACAGCCGTGAGTGGGTCATGTAATCCACTGTTAGGTACTTATTATTCTACTAATAAATTGATTGTTGTGCTAAAATAAACTTAAAAGTTGGAACTGTAATGACCTATAATGATGTTGCATTGTGCTCTGCAGAGTGTTCTGGATGGTTATAATGGAACTGTAATGCCTTATGGGCGGACTAGAATGATGAAAACTTTTACTCTTTGACGATTGGGTGAGGAAGATACCTCTGCTCGTGGAATAATGGTTCATTCACTAGAGGAAATTTTAGCAAATGGTTCTCCAGAAACCGATTTTGTCTCTATTTCATATCGGTAAGTTGTTAGGCTCATGATTTTAATTTTATTAATCTCAGTTGAAGAAGAAGAACAAGAATGAGAGTTAGCCGGAGTTAAGTGTCATATCAGCAAATATTAATGAGAGGTTATTGAAAACGAAATAAAAGTTTGATGATTGTATTGTAAGTTTAAAATGTTGGGTCACCAAAGTGCAAGTACCTAAAAGTTCAGGGACTATTTATATATTTTACCTTAAAATTTAAGTTATATAAAATAATTAAAGTACAAATTTATGATTTAAATGAAAATTAATTTAAATTTAATGATTTATAAATGTAAATTGTCCGAAATAAAGTTATACACATAAACATAATCACAAAAGGACAAACTAAAAGTAGTATAAGAACTAAAGTGAGAATTAAGCTAAAGTGGGGGGGGGGGAATTAGTTATTAAGGCATTCAATAATATCATGAGCCAAATACTTTTTTTCCAACCAGTAACGTGGAAGAGTCAACTGCGTCCAAAAATCCATCGGCAGCTCTTAACTATCTCTTTGTTTCCTCTCGACTTCAAACTGATTTTGAGTCAAACTTTTGGATCAAATTGATTATCATAGTTTATAAGATTAAGATAAATATTTGGGTTTTAGAATTGGCATTGACTTGTTTATTTTTTTCAACTAAAAGCTGACTGAATTATTTATCCAAATTCCGCATACAACCCTTTGATTACCTCTTGAAATAATCACATCCCAGATTTCCTTATACAAAGATTTCTCCAAAAGCAGAATGGGATCTGAACTCAAGGACCTCTATTCGAAACCGGCGAAGATCCAACTATCCGATTCGACCCACGACGTTGCCTCCGCCAAAGACGACCGTCCCCTCCTCAAACCCGACTCCACATCCGCCGCCGAGTTCAACATCCAGGAGCTCTTGAAGAAATTCGCTGCTTATGTTCGTAACGACGTGTACGGTGCCATGGGACGTGGGCAGCTTCCATTGAAGGAGAGATTCTTGCTTGGGATCACCCTTGTCACGCTGCTTCGTCTTCGCATCATTATTGGGATGACTCTTTTGGTTGTATATTATTTGATTTGTTGAATCTGTACGCTATTCTCTGCTTCGAACCGGGAGGAGGAGCAGGATGATTATGCTCACTTGGGCTGGTTGCTTTCTATCTCGATCATTGCTCTTTGTGGTAGGGTTTTATTGAATTAATGAAGTCCGTAAAGATTCAGCAAACACCCAGTGTAACTCAAAAAATGAGGTAAGCCAACTTTTTTCTTCTTCGCAAGTTCAATAACTCGGCTTTGACTTCAATTACACGAACTCCCTAACTTGAATAATTAAATTTTCATCGAAAGTATTTGATTGATCAACATTTCCCCCCTCCTATGAACTTTATGCGTTTGATTTTTTTACAGGGTATCCATCTATCAGAAGAGCGGGAAAGACCTGGGGCAATCGTATCTAATCATGTGTCGTTTTTAGATATTATATCACATGTCCTCTTCCTTTCCGAGCTTCGTTGCCAAGGTCTGTTAACTTAGCTGCCATTCTTATACTTTTGATTATGGCATAAAGGGTACAATTTTGCTTCTTTAACTGACATGTTTCTTGTTTGGTTTTTGTCAATTGGGACCCTTGGATTGTATTGCTGAAGAGATCTGTGGCTAAAATTCCTTTAGTTGGTTTCATCAGGTGAGTTTACTTCAACCCCCTAAATTTCTCTAATTGTCAAACTGATAAGTTTCTTTATTACTTGTCTTTCAAGCTTGATACAGCTGTGGTGGAAGTTTTTGTTTTACTTCACGTTTAAGTTCTTAATCTACTAGCTTCATTGCTTATGTTGCAGCAATGTTTTTTTATGGGTATATACAAATCTTTGTTTTGGAAGGAATGTTGCTTACATGCAAGTGTTTGAGTTCTTAATCCTAAATTTGTAGTTGTTTTGGTTGGTTACATGCAAGTGTTCCTTATAGGGTTACATGTTTCGGAGTGATGAATGATATTTTGGCTTGTTTGTTACAGCAAATGCCTCGGTTGTGTCTACATTCAACGGGAGTCGAAATCATCAGGCTTCAAAGGTGTTGCAGGTAGAACAACTATCGATCTCTCAAACATGTTCTTCACCACTTACCATTGGTTCAAAGTAAATTGCAATATTGTATAAATGATCTTTCTTTCAGGTGTTGTAACTGACAGAGTTCATGAAGCTCGTCAAAATAGATCTGCTCCAATGATGATGCTCTTTCCAGGTTAATCATCGTTTTGATCCGCTATATGCATTTATAACACGGTTAGTTTATGGTGCATGCTGTACCCAAGTAGTGTGGGTGTGTATGCTTATGTATTTAGCTGATGTTTCATAGCTGCATAAAATTTTCATATTCCTATAAGTTCCCAATGAGTAAGAGTTTGTTTCATATTCATCATTTCATCTTGACAACAGAAGGAACAACTACAAATTGGGATTTCCTTCTCCCATTCAAGACTGGTGCATTTTTGGCTGGAGCACCTGTGGTGCCTGTTATAGTAAGGTACCCATACCAAAGATTTAGTCCAGCCTGGGACTCAATAACAGGGGCGAGTATTTCTCGAGCAAATTCAAAATGACTGTAAATTTTCATAATAAAATTTATATGTTCCCTAATTAAGTAGCTATGTAATACACAACCAATTGGTCATTCAATATCGGAAACATTTTTTTCTGGAAATATTTTCATAATAACATTTTGTATTGTTCCCTGTAGGTACGGCATGTTGTTCTACTTCTGTGTCAATTTGTAAACCACATGGAAGTGATACACGTGCCGATCTACTACCCCTCGCTGCAAGAGAAGGATGACCCAAAGCAATATGCTAATAATGTCCCGAAGATTGATGGCCTCTGAGGTATGCATGTCACAAATTGTGTTTTTTCTTCAAAAAAATATCTATCCTAACATCATTGACGGATAGCAGATACCATATTTTGATTGTTATAGAGTTCTGAGGCACCGGCGTTAAGCGCTGTTGTGTTATTTTTGTTCCATATAGTCACCAATATGCAGTAGGAAAACCATCATGTTTATTCTTGTTAATGCTAGTCTTACTGGATAAATTTTGTGGGTGCAGGCTAATTTGATACTTTCAGATGTAGGACTAGCTGAGAAGCGAATAAATCATGCTGCTCTCAATGGTAATAATCACCCGCCTAGTGTTTTGCATCGGAAAGATGATTGATAATTTCTTGGTCTTGCCCTCAATCAATATCAGAATTTTTGTATCATTAACATTGTACTGGCCTAGAAAATATACATGAATTGCCTGCAAAAATTATACAACCCATTCATCATTGCTACACTTTCTCTGATCGTTGAAGACCTTTATCATGATCAGAAATCTTAAATGCAGATTTTAACGATACACAGAGAATTCTCCAATCATTGTGAATGTAAAACTTGAATGGCAAAGAAGCTCTTATCATTTCAACAGAAAAACATTGTTTGATTTCTTTGAATCCCAGGGAGGTAAGCAGCCTCTTAAGGGTGATTGTAGAAGTAACAAAGACTTTTGCTGCATGGACATGGAAGATAGGCAACTGAAGGCACATCTCAGCCTCCTTTTGTCACTATCGTATGGTTGATAGTTTGGATCGTGCCGCACAACGGAAGTCTTAAGGGCTTCGGGAAGAACGCAGTTGCACATTGAACCTAATACAAACAAAAGGCGAGGCATGTGACACCAGAAAATGCGTGTGTAAGTGATGTGATAACAATGATCACTAGGATATTAAGGATACCTATCCCTGCCAGTCGATTTACCCATTTTGGAATGTGTTTCCCCGTCAGCTTGTAGCAAATATCCTTACAGAAATGGTTGCAGTTCTTGAGGAGCAAGTGATACGTATCTCCATGATACCTTGCCAAATTAAGCTCCATGAACTCCCTTATTTTGATAGGGTCCAACAATGTAGTCCCGATGAATATCGATTTCCTGAATTTGAACCCTGGGCACTGTCGTGGTTCGACCTCAAAAACACCACTTGTTGGGTACTCATGAGCTCCAAATGCATATTCCACACCATGAACTGTAATAACAATACATATTTTGCATATTCAACGCACGTTCATTGTTTACTATTATGTGCTCTCCCACCCTATGACGAGGACAACTACTCATCCTTTCTACATTATACTTCCGGTTAAACTAATCGGCTTTCACCGGACAAAACTAGATTCCGACATTAAAAATTATATCAACTTTTCCAGATTTAAAGTGAACAAATGGACTGCATAAAGTTAATGGAAGGAAGCGTACCTTTCACACCAGAATGAAAGATACCAAGGCCTGCCCAGTAGAAGTAGCCATTGACGGGTGTTAGGTCATAGACATTGAGATACACTGGAGCACAGCCCGGATTGAAACTAGATGGCTTCACCTTTGTGAATAAACAACGAGATGCTGATTTGTTTTTCAAAATACAAGGCACCACTAGTTTCCATCTTTTCCGTGTCTCAACATCCATATTTCTTCAGAGATAAGATCAGACTTCGATTAATGCCAATTCAACCTGGGGTAAACTACAAACATTAGCTGTATCACTTGAAGCAAACCATTTACCAATCATGATAGGAACAGAAAGACAGCAATAATTAGAGACCAAAAGTTTCTTTAAAACATAGTTACAGATTACAGCAATTGCACTCTTTGTTTTGGCATTCATTGGCTACACATTGAACTAGTCATACGACAGGGAATAATGACTAATTTCTCTAGACCGCTATAAAGATAATAATGAAGATCAACAACAATGAGAGAAAGAGGCACAAAAAAAGGTAAGGGTTAACTCAGAGCTTCAACAACTCTTAATCACAATCAGTTGAGTGGGCTAATTAACCCTTGCATTTTACATTAAACTACACAAATTACAGTTTCCCCCAAAACTCCTTTTATAGGAAGGGGGTCAAAATGGTGGAAGTGAAGATTTGGGGGGATCTAAAAGAAACCCAATAAAGCAAGATCCAAACTTAATATAAACAAAAAGGGTAGCAGTAAGTTCAACTATCAAGCGCTGCATTTTGTATATCCTTCAAGAAAACGTTAAATGTTTTAATATTCTAATGAAAGAAAGAAGCAACACTCCATGGAAACAAAAATGAATTGAATTGTATGAAAAGAAAAGAAAAGATTCACTTCAGATCTACAAGAAAGCGAGTCCATTCCAGGAGAAAAAGCGATGAATTAAACGAAATACTAACAATGTACAAGATCAGAAAGATTTAAGGCCATGATTTGAACCATTGATCTCACAAAAGAAGAAACATGTTTTGAATAAAAATAAAGAAACAAAGAAAAGAAAAGGAACGGAAAATGAGAGAGTACAGATTCACAGAAGAAAGGCCATTAAGCGCCCAAATTAAGAGAAGCCGCCATCACAACATCGAAGCCAGCAGGCTTGATTCGAAACGTTTCGTCTTGTTTACAGCGGAGAACAAAAGAAGAAGATAGTTGCCAAAGATGGAGATGGGTTTAGTAAGCTTAACCCTCCTTTAAATATAAAAAACTTTTAAGCATTAAAGAATCGGACGAATGGCACTGGCAAAGCCATGTTCTTTCTTTTATTATTATTATTTCTCTCTTTCTTTCTTTCTTTCTTTCTTTCTTTCAATTTTTCACTCTCATGCCATTATGCCGTAATGTCATATACTATATTTTCATTGTCGATTTGGATTAAAATATACAGTTAATCTCTGTATTTTGGTAATTTTCATAGTTAGTCCATACTGAAAAAGGTAAAAACTTAATTACATTACTTTTTTTCTATATAAAAACGAGTTCGTGGTAAATAAGAAAGATCATAAATGAGATTAACATTTCGTAATCTACCTCTTTAGTGTTGGAGAAGAATCACATTTTGGACGATTAAGAAGTAAAATGTACAGTCCTTTTTGATGTTATAAGAGTTACACTATACGTACTTTAAATGTTTGATTATAATGTGATCTTGAAAGCTGATAATCTAGAAAAGGTGTTCATTGAAGCTACTTACGCCCATTGGCACTTGATTGCTGCACACGGTGGCATCAAGTTGCATTTCATTGAAGGATGTTGAAATATCACTCGAGGAACAATAAAACAATCATAAAGCATGAAAATTCATTCCTGATCAATCACAACTGAAAGCTACACCTCGTTTTATACACCACCAAGAACCCATATAACTGCAGTTGGTTACATGCAGTTAGGGCTTAACTACTCTTGTTGTCGACAAGAAACTTAACAGCTTACAACAAATTACAACAATTTCTTCCACGTGCATGGATTGCACACATGCACGATGACTTCCTTCAATATTCTCCCCGCTTCTTTTGCTCTCCACTGAAAGCTTGAATTTGTCGCCTCTGTAACATCCTCCATACCGGGTTAGTGATTAAATTGTGAAATTTTAAAATTTAGTGATCAAAGTAGATAAATTGAAAGTTGAAGGAATTGATTGAAATATTTAGTGTAGGATCAATTAGCAAAGCAAGGGGAACTAAAGGGGCAAATGAGTCTTTTGACAAGGAGAAATAATTAAATGATAATTGAGGATATTTAAATCCACGTGGAAAGCTAATGAGAGAAACAAGGTTCTGGATATTTCTTTCTTCTTCCTTCTTCTTTTCTGCCGTGAAGCCAAGCTAAAGGTGAGTTTTCTTGTGATCAAATTCTTGATGAATTTAAGGTTGTTTATTGATCCTTAGTTGATAACTATGCTTAAGGAAAGCTTAGATTATCTTAAAACCATAAGATGAGGAGAATATGAAGAATCAAAGAAATGAGGTAGAAAAGTGAAATCTTGGATTAGAGCTTATAATAAGAATTAGAAGTGAGTTTTGACTTGTCATAAAGCTAACTAAGAAGAAGTAGGAGGTGTTAGAATTCAAATTAGAACATGTTGGAATTTGGGTTAGATTCTTAAATTCTATATGGAGAATCGGATTTCTAAGTTTTAGAAGTATGGAATGGATAACAATGAGTTTAAGTAAGAGGATGCAAGTTAGGTATATAAAAAGAGGGGAAATATAAAGTGTTAAGTAGACTAAGAAGAGGTTTTCGTGCTAAAATGACAATTCTGGGCAATGTGCATCGATGCACATTCATTGTGCACCGATGCATCAATGATAAATCCCAGAAATTGTTTAAGGTGCATCGATGCACATGAAGTGCATCGATGCATTAATTTAAAAGAAAACATCGAATGTCATCGATGCATAAGGAGTGCATCGATGCACACCATTAAATACAAACATCGAATAGGATTTATGCATCGATGCATGGTGTAGTGCATCGATGCATACCTCCATTAAAAGATGAAAATGACTTTTCTTTTAGCCTAAGAAATGATAGCTTAGAATATACTAATTAGTATACTGATAAGTATCAATGAATTACTATGTAGATATCGAGCCTAAACGAGTTCTGGAACAATCGACAAGTAAGGTCGATCGAGGAAAAAACAAGGAAATATAGGTGAGTGCATATGCATAGCATGAATATAGTATTATATTCTGTTCTAGACTTGTGATAAGTCTAGATTCAATATTTGATACATGATCACATTTCATATTATGATACTTGACATGAATACATATTATATGAATTATGTGATAAAGGTATGGAAAATGAAATGTTTATGTGATAAAGGTATGAGAATGATATGTCTATGCGATATAAATTATGTGAATTGTAAAAGCCCATGTTCTGTAGATGAGAACTGTAGGTATAGTTGGCATGCCAATGGTAGAGGGTCTACATGGTCCTTCGGGATATATATATATATATATATATTCTTTGGAACATTTGTGAGGTCTTTTGAGACACATAATTGATCCTTGGTATATGTATATGATTCTTAAGGAGTTTATATGTGGTCATTCGGGACAAATTCTACGCGGTCATTCGAGACAAATTTCTACGCGGCACTTCGGTGCAAAACTCTACGCGGCACTTCAGTGCAATTTATACGAGCTGTGGTGACAACATAATGCACAACCTCACAATACTCATATGCCTTAGGTTCTCCGTATGGTAGCATGAGCCAATAACTTATTAATACAAATTCATGAATGCTAATGTAATATGATTATGGATAAGGATCATGGTGATATAACTACATTGATTAAGTACACGATTTCATTTCATTTCATATCATTATGACATTTTCATTACATTTCCTTTATAATATTATTATTATTATTATTATTATTATTAAATTGCCTCACTAAGTTGACGACTTAGCGTGTGAGTGTTTCACGCGTAGGATCCGAGAAGTAGAAGAGACATGATAAGCAGCTGACATCATTACTCCTACACTATCAGATCAGAGGCAACTTATTAGTAGGTCATTTTGTTATGTAAATGGATGTTGGCATGTATCTAAAGGGTTAAGTTGTGTATGCTCTGAGTATTTTGATAAATGTGTATTAATATATGTATATTATCGTATTTTATTAATATAAGTCCTAATGTCGTTATTTTGTAATAAAGGTGTTTTAAAAAGGTAATGTGACATCTTGGACTCATATTCGGGTACGGGTTGGGGGTGTTACATTTAATGGTATCAGAGCTATGGTTTAGCCGATTCTAGGCATAAACCATAGTTTATAGAGTCTTTAAATGGGATACATACCAACAAATAGTGAGAACTTCTGATCTGGTATAATATGAGTATGTTGTTTTGCTAATAGAATAATGTGTTTATTTTATTAGATGTCCGGACATAGTAGCTCCCGAGGTGAAGTGGGAGAAGATAGGCCTGCTGAAAGCAGTAATTCACCTGCCTTGGCCAAGCAAGATGAAGGACAGATATCTCAGGGAGTGCCTGTACAAGACCAAGACACATTCTTTAGAACGTTAGACGCTATTCTGACGCGTCTTCAACCTCCTACTCCACCAACTCAAAGAATGAATGTAGCAAAAGAGTTGAGAGGTTTAGGAGCTCCCTAATTTAAAGGAGAAGCCGAGGAAGGTCCGGTTGTGGCGAATCTCTGGTTAAATGATTTGAAAATCATGTTGGATGGTCTCCACTGCTCTGAAGTGGAGAAGTTAGATGGAGTTGTCTCGTTATTGAGGGGTCAGGCGAGGATATGGTGGACGAACGTCACCATGAGAATATCCAGTGACCAATTGACTTGGTCTTTGTTCTTGGAGGAATTTAAAAACAAGTATATTGGAGATCAATTTATTCGGCAGATGAAGCAGGAATTTATGAACTTGAAGCAGATGAACCGTTCTGTATATGAGTATGAATGCAAGTTCAACAAGCTGAGTCGGTTCACAGCCGAGCTTGTGCCTACTGAAAAAGATGCTTGTGAATGGTTTGTGGAGGGCTTACGCCCTAGATTGAAAAAGATGCTGATAGTATTGAATTTTTCCTCATTCCAGAAGGTGATCAATCGTGAAAAAGCTCTTGAGAAGGCTCAGAATGAGAGATTTAGGGATTTTAGAGTTCAGACATCAAATAGGACGGGTGCTTCTCCCAGCTCAACACCACCAAAGAGAGGAAGAGACTCAGGATTTCGATCGCAAGCTAGATCTGAATCAGTTGCATCCTCAGCTAGAGGAGCAAGTCAAGTGAGGCATAGACAGACGCAATCAGTGGGATCTAGTGCTGGGAGATCCACTCAGAGTCAAGCGAGACAGTGTCAACATTATGGGAAGAATCATTTTGGGTCATGTCG